TCTGGGCTGCACGAGCTGTGATGACGACACAGCTGTTCCACGATTGGCCGGATTCACCGCATGACAACGATCACGTGCGTTTCGTGTTTATTCTCACACCTTTAGTTCCACTAAAGCTCACAAATCAGTTTTTTAATAACAGTAAACACTCTTTTCATGTAGTCGCGATTTATTGTGTTATGTTTATCAAAATAAAACTGATTAAAAAACGTTGATTCCACTTCATTGATAGTAGGCCTAGCTGTAGGCTTATGTTGAACTTTATTCTTGTTCAAACAAACGCTGTATGAAGCAGTAGGCTACATAAAGTATTGAATGAAAATGTCTCTGAAACATCTGTGTATTTGGCAAATATTGCATTTATTTCACTTCAGCTGTGCTAAAGTAGGCTATACAAACACCACGTGAGCGGTCACTACGGGAACCAGAAAGTGTCCGACTTCACGTCTCCGTTTGCAGCTCCTCCCCGCCTGCACGCGGCTACTCTCGCCGATCGCTTACATCCAGCCGCAGCCGATGTCGAACACACCTACTAGGCTCGTTTGAGATGCGCCTTGCCTCGCCTGAAGTGTAGTCGAGAGTAGGCGCTGCAGTGAGAGGAGGAGTGAACAAAGCGCAGCAAGCCGGACAGATCGCTCTTCTCGCATTGGATCTGACACCTGTGAGATCAAAGGCTTGTATCACGGGATTCACGCTCGTGCACGGTGTTGCTAATAAACTGGATGTAATTTAAGTTTTGTTGCTTGAATATGAAAATAAATATAATGAACAAGACACCCAAAGTACTTATTTAATTCCATTTTAAATAGGCCTGTTTATCATTTTTTCTTTAATACAGATAGGGGAGAGCGGGGCACAACCTAACGCATTTTGGTTTTGGCTCAATTATTAAAAAAATTATTAAGTTAGATTCAACTTTTTTTTACACAAGCAACATACACATCTCTGCTACAAATGAACACTTAAAGTTTTTTTCTAGGACCTACCATGTTCGTACTGTTGCACTGAAAGTGACAGAAGTGCAAATGTTACAACTTACCCCATATGCGGGGTTAATTGTAACAGACAGAGGGGTTAGTTGTAACACTTGTGTGTAACACACATAATTCAGTACTATTTTATTTGTATAGTTTGATATTGTTTGTGCATCTGTATAGATAGATATCCATACATCCATCCCTCATCCAATCATCCTTCTATTATGGATCAATATCATGGATAGAGACCTTACAGTCTATGACAGAGACATAGAAAAGGGCAGCACAGTTTTGCAATAAATAAATAAATAAATAATCAAATTGTAATTGCAATTGAATTAGATTTGTGTGTGGCAGTTGCATGTAAAATTATTATTATTGATTATAATAACAGTAATAATAATACAAATGAGCTTAAAACATTTAAAGGGTTTATTGCATTAAAAACAGGCCATATTTTTAATAAATAAACAAGTGATCAATGCATGGTAAAATAAATTTTAAACATTTTAAATTCCAACATTGTTTGTAAAAGTCCAACAACGTTAAATATATAAATAAATACTCAAACCTGAAAAGTTGTGTGGCTCCCTGTTTTCATTTGATTATCATTGTACACTTGGCGGCTTAGTTGTAACACTGTGCTACAACTAACCCCGCTGTGTAAAGCATATTTTAAGCCTAGCTAACAGTTGCTAGGGGTTGCTGACATGTTTCAAAACGGTGCTATGTTTTAGCAAACAAGACAGTGATTAAGGCAATATAAAGTTAGATTTGAAAACGTACACACCCAACTCAGAAACCGAAAAAAACCTATGATGAAAAAATGTACTTGCATGGTGTCAAAACACTCTTTGTCCAGTATCTTCACGAAATATTATCAAAACTTTCCACAAATTCGCGGGAGACCGTCTTCTGGCAGCGAGAGAAAAAGAGCGGAAACACAACCGGCTTGATCCTGACTAACTATGTAAAAGGTCCGTGTTACATTTAACCCCGCGTTAGGTTGTGCCCCGCGCTCCCCTATGTGTTTTTATTTTATTTTTTTATTTTTTTAATTACATCACATAGATCACACTGATAAAACATGATATCAGAGTTTTAAAATCAAACATTTTAAAAGAGAACAATACATCACGGTTGTTTAAACCAATGAGCATTAAGCTGTGTCGTCAGCAAGCATAGTCAGCAAGTCGTTTCCCATCATGCTTTTGATCAGCGCAGTCGGTGGAGAGCAACTGCGCGCGACTGCAGAATCTGACACGTGCGCCTTGCGGTCGCGAGAGCTTTTTGACATACGTCAGCATGACATCAGAGCAAGGCGGACCGCACTCGGACACATTTATAACCGGCATGCATTACGCGCTGATCACCGGTGATCGGTTCTGCGCAGATTTTGTCAAGGGGGTAATCCATCGACCGGAAGTTGAAGCCGGCCGGGTGCCGCCATGTTGTAGCAGAACTTCACTTGCGTTAGCATTTCCATTGACTCCCATTCATTTTGGCGTCACTTTGACAGCGAATAACTTTACATCTGAGGCGTTTAAAGACTCCATTTGTCCATTATTTATTTCTAAAGAAACACGACAATGTATAAAGGGCTCCATTACCTTCTATGTTACGTTATGGCCCCGTAGAAACAGAATTAGTAAAAATAGGCTAACGATTGCGTCATAACCACTCGACTCTCTGTCGCGCTGTACAGAAATGACCGTACAGACAGGAGGAGAAGCTCGCGCGCAATCGGGGGACGTCGAGGCATAAAGTCAAGGGAGAAGCCCATAGAGAGTTGTAAAGTTGCTCCTGCTGCGAGCTCATGGACAGCTAATACTCACGATCTCCGGCTCTGCAAGTTTCGGAAGGGAATGATTCAGATTCCTCTTGGCACCGCTACTAGAAGATTCACGTCTGTCAGACAGGTTGCTCACGTCATCAAGCTTAGTTTGAGTCGGTCTGAGTCTGCGCGTCAGGAACGGAAGTTCTCAAAAATCGCTAAAAGTGGGCTTCAACTGTCTCAACTGAGTTCCAATGAGATGCTCTGTCCATTTCTTTTACTGTCTATGGATTTTGCTCATCTCAAACAAGGTCAGGGTATATTCCAAGCGTGCCGCACAAGCCCTCAAAAGTGAAGCCAAAACGTCTCGATCGCCCCCCAGTGACCGGTCCTAGTATAGCTCATAAGCCCCGCCTCCCCATGTTATTCAACGGGACGTGAGACCAACAAAAATAATTAAATTAGACTTCACATATCTTTTTTCTAAAGATAGTTTCTGTCATTTACTGTAGTTTCTATCACGTTGATGTAATTTCAAGTGTTTGTTTTTAAAATAAGTTAGTTTTTAGTTAGTTATTTGATGCTATAAAAACCGTGCTGTGACATCATGATTGACAGCTGTGATTGACAGGTTCTCTGTGTGAAGTAGTAACTGAAGCACCAACGGACTTTTTTTCATAATGTTGACTATGTGGTTAGTAGTTGTATTTACCTTATTTTAACGAGGTACTGCAATCAGCAGGGGTGTATTCCAGAAAGCAGGTTATGTGACATACCCGGGTATGTTTGAGAGTAAGTAAGCGGATAACCTCAACTTTCGGTTCCAAAAACGGAGGTAACTTTCAGGGTATGTTAGTAGTCATAGCAACTCACTCTCTGAACTTAACCTGCTCCGGAGCAGGTTATGTTGCAGGGTTAGTTTGTTTCAGAGAGGTGATGGAGCATGGCGTGCCCTTTTGAAGATGATCCAGAGATGTGGAAGCACAGATAATACAAAATCTTTTCTGCCGTGAGAGGGTGATACGACCACGTATCGAGGTGTTTTCTTATCCAAATGAATATTTTCGGGAGCGCTACCGTTTTTCAAAAGAATCGTTAATTTATTTAACGAAGATTTTGAAACCATACATAGCAAACGTGACACATCGCGAATTAGCGCTTAACACGGCGCACATTTTGTGCATTGACCTTTGCTTTTTTGCGACGGATAGTTTTTTTTTGTATACAATAGGCGATGCAGTGCATGTGGGAAAGGCAACTGTGTGTAGGGCTGTTCATACAGTATGCATTGCACTCAACCGGTTCCTACACACTTTTGTGGAGTTCCCTGGCCATAAACCACTGAGGGTCATTAAAGAGGAATTCCACAGAGTGGCGGGTTTGTCCGTTCTATGATATTCTATGACAGACCATTTTAGTTAAATAGCACTAGTTAATCTATCCATACTGTATACAGTCACAATAATTTTAAATGTTTCTAATTATATAACTTAAAATTTCAGGGTTTACAAATGTGATTGGGTGCATTGATGGAACCCACATTCCTATTAAAGCTCCTTCAGTCAATGAAGGAGACTATGTTAATAGCAAGTCAATCCATAGCATCAATGTGCAGGTGACAATACATTTTTTGGGTGCTTAATGTTTGAGTGTTTAAACCATTAAATCACCCTCATTACTGGTCCCCTAACTAGGTAATATGTGATGCAACCCACCTCATCACAAATGTTGAAGCCAAATGGACAGGGTCTGTACATGATGCCAGAATGTTTAGGAAGTTATCATTGTGCCACACATTTCAACAGGGTATGTTTTGCCTTACACAATGTTTTTTTAGGCAATTATACACTTTAACTACCTTTATAGGACACTTCAGTGGTTACTTGCTGGGGGACAGAGTACCCTTGTCTGCCCTGATGACACCCTACCCTGAACCAAAGGCACAATTCAACCTGGCCCACAGCAGAACACGGGTCAAGGTGGAAATGACCATAGGCATCCTGAAGGCAAGGTTTCAGTGCCTGCGTGGGCTCAGGGTCAGCCCAGAAAGGTCATGTGACATCATAGCTGCTTGTGTTGTTCTTCACAACATTGCCACACTTAGATGTGAGAGGGCCCCCCCTTCTCTCGATGAAGATGGCCAAGAGGAACCCCCAGTGAACCCCCAGTGAACCCAGTAGACCAAAGAGATGGCAGGGTGGTATGAGACATGATTTGCCAAAATCACTTTAATTAAAACCAGTTAACAGTGTTGTTCATTGTTTCTTTATTTCCTGTAACAAAATACATTTGTATTTATTGCTTTAGATTTCATTCAACAACAAATGACAGATTAATGTTCACATACTGTTTCCCACCTTAAGCTGGTGCTCCAGCAATTCAATTTCAAGTCTGGCCTTTTTTAGGTTAAGCCTTTTCTCCTCCATTTGAAGCTGTATAAGGTCCATCTCCTGCCACCTTTTCTTATTTGCTTTTGAAGGTGGACCTTATACAGCTCTTTGGCAGGCAACTAGAAAGACTGAAAAAGTCTGTAATACAAACACAGACCAAATATTTAAATGAGGAAGGAGAACTGCAGAACATTTCTTACACTGCTAAGATTCTGTGTGGAGGTAGATGGACCCTCAGCTGTATTAAAATCTGCTGCCATATTCTGTAAAATGACAATGACAATTTATTTATTATCTTATATGTTAAAAAGGGGGAATGCATTCTATGCATCATACCTCTATGGGCCTCCCCACATTTTCTGTTTCTGTCACAGCAGAAGTGGTCTCTTCATCATCATCCTACGGTGAAAATAAGGAAGGATGCTTGGTCTAGCAAACAGAAACCTAAAGACAATAATCACTTACAACTGTGACAGAGTGTGGTGTTGCAGGAGGATCCAATAATACAATGTGGCCATCAGCAACTGCAAGATAATTAAACCAATATAAGATAATCATGCATATTCAATACTCAATGTATATTCTTAAACAAATACAACTAAAGAAGGACATTAGTACATTTAAGAGTACTGGTAATAAGATTACAGTATACAGCATATGCAGTCAAAGCAGCATGCATACTGCACAAGTGAATCAATGACTGTAAAATGCATTCAAAATGCCTTTTTAAAATGGTGACAGTGTTGATGATTTTCTTTATTAAAACACTGACAAAAAAAACAGTGAAAACATCAATAAATCATAAGTATTAATATGGTACACCTACATTTTATTAGGCATAAGGATAAATAAAATATTAAGATACATTATCAAATTTTTGCGTCACAATGAAAGGGGAAAATAGCCCATTTATAATTTTCTAAACTCACGCATTTACTCTGTCCGTTATTTTTTGCCAAGCCAACTCTCTTTCTTTTGCTGATGCAGCAGTATTGTTTTTTTTTATTGTTTTTTTTTTTATATAATGGGCTTATAGTCTTCATAAGCAAGCATCAATACCTCCAACTCAGTTTCACCGAAGTATCGTATGTAGCTCGCTTTTTTTCTCCCTTGGTTTCCATGGTGACTCCTGAAATCGGCGATCCATTGAAAATGTCTTTATGTACTCGCCGTGCGCGCGCATTAACTCTGGGTTACCAATAGGAGGTTGATTAAACTAACTCCTCACAGGTGTTTTGGAACCGACATACCCAGAGTAAGCAAGTTTGGGGTTAACCAACCAAGAGTTCAAGGTTTATCTGACGGTAAGTTAACCTTGCTTTCTGGAATACACCCCAGACATCATTGGAGAGGAACGGAGCAGACAAGGCCACTTAAGAAAAGTGCAGGGCGTGTGCTTGCGATTGATTCAGCGAGAGTGAGGGGGCGGGGCCTTGATTTCGCGGCTTTACTTCCTGCTCACGACTGCGCATGACTGGTCCCGAAAACGCTACTGCGCAGACTCAAGTTCCAATATGTCAGCGCCATATCGGGACTCTGGCGGCTTCAGTTCTCTCCAATGGAAAAGAGCGAAGGGGCGTCGTCCATCTTTTTTACAGTCTATGGTATATTCTGGCAAACCGTTTGCCAATCACGTCTAGCATTTGGCAAAGCAAACTGTGGTACACGCCATTTACCAACAAGCGATGGGTAATTCGCAAAGCACAATGATATTTTCTGTTTTCCCAGCACTATACTATAGAACGGCATTAAGTAAGAGGCGGGGCACCAGTGAAAACATTTCAAAGTTAAAGTTCAGGCAAACCGGTATTAATAGACAAGTTTTAGTCATATTGATTGTTTATAGCTGAATTAGTAGAACGCAATTAGACACCGATTTTATTGGTTTATAATACAGCAATCTTATTGGTGTAGACGGTTGAGGCATGAGCGCATTCCTTTGTACAAGTCTGGTACGAGTTTATGAATGATCTACGACGCTGTTTCGCCGTAGCCTAGACTACTACATACATATTAAAGTGACAACCATGGTGATTTAACGATCAATTGGATAATGTTTTGATGAACTTGCAAATCAAGTTAGATGAAATTCCTGTCAAAATGTATGCGTATAATGCTCAATTCACATACTTTCAAAGCAGCTTTACAAAGAGTCATATTGTAAGCTTTATTGAGGAGTTTTATGGCTAGACGACGATATCACGAAATATATTGCTGATAAATTATAAGAGTTAGCCTAGCTATACTATTAAAGTAATTTACCCGATAAATCAGTGCCACTTTTAGTGGGCAATGAGCATGCTGCATGAAATTACTGGCATTTCAAAGGAGAGATATTTTATAGGCTGAGACAATATTTTTCCGCATGCCATGCTGGCCTCCGATATTTTATATATTTTATGCTTCTACGTTTTTCCATTAGGATGTAAACACAACTTATTTTACACAAATGATGTAATAATTCACTGTATTTAAGTACAACATGGGATGCATCCGAAAGTGTGATCACCGTGGTTTTGCTTTAAAATAAAATAAAAGACAATAGGCTACCAAATAGTAGCCTATACAAGCCCTGGCCATTCGGTTTTGTGCGTACAATGTGAATAATCTTTTTTATATATACTAAAACAGATGTTATAGCCTATTATGTCGATCTATAGCAAATGCTATTATGCTCAACAGCGTATTTAAGCAATAGACCTACATGTTCATATCACTTCTCTGCTGGGTATTTTATTTATTTTATTATATTCTAATTGCACAGATTTACAGCAGTGTTTTTTATGGTTATGCAGCTAGCTATATGTGAGTGTTAATATTTGAAACCATTTTTACATAGCCTACATTACATATACGCAGATTAAAACAAACACACAATGCAGGGGTGGATAAATAAATAATTGGATTTTTAATATGATGTCACAGTCGTAGGCCTACATGTTAACCAGTTGACACTTAGGTGCTTTCACACCTGGATCGATTTGTTTTGTTCCGGAACAGATCCGAAACAGAATACTTTGTTCCGAATCAATTTAATACGTCACTCTGTTCACACCACACTGTTGTAAAGCGCTCCAAATCGCGCACCCTTCCAGGGCTTTCCTTACGCCATTACGTCACTACCTCATGCGTGCAGGTCGCGCATTCCATTGTGGGACATCGCCATGACAACAGTAGCCTAACTAAATGAATCGCGGGTTGACTTGGTGCTACGAAGAGGTGAAATGCCTCATAGATATTTGGTCAGAAGAACACATCTCCCGGATGTTGGACACTACACACAAGAACACAGACGTGTACAAGAAGATCAGCTATAAAATGAAAGAGAGGGCTTATGAACGGTCCGTCGAGCTGTGCCGCGCAAAGGCGAAAAAACTCCGACAGCAGTAAGTTAGCTAGCAGCAGGGGCGTTTCTAGGTTTTAAAAACATCAGGGGCTGAACCCGAAACATCAGGGGCTGGGGTGGGTAATAAGATAACATGATTCGATACAGAGAATAATGTATATTGCAGGCCTATATGCAGGGGACAGACTGGTTAAAAAAATCCATCCCTGGCACTGTAACCACACCAGCCCAGAGGGGTTTCACAACGCGTCATCAATCCGGAAGTCGGCCATTTTGGAGGCACAGAACGTAAATAATGCCACTGAACTGAATGGACTCGCAAATTTGGCTGATTATTGCTGCTGAAAAATGGTCGAGTTTTTGTCTGTACCAATCGGTCACATCGGGAAAAAACATGTTGAGTGCTATAGACTGTCAAACGTTAAAGAGAAGAGTGCAAAAAACTGATGAAAGAAGGCGTTTGTGGTTGAGAGAGGTAGTACATCATCAGACAGGTGTAAATGAAGCGTTGACTATGGCTAAAATGTCGACGTAGTTAACTATGGCTACATTCACACTGTCAGTCCAAATCCGATTATCTTTGTATCAAATTGGAATCTGATCTAAAATGATGTCCACACTGTGTATCGCAACTGTTCAGATCCGACGTGTGTGTCCATGCATGTTATTTGGTAATATGGCAATGACTTTGCGTTGATGGAGGGGGTTGCATTTGCAATATAATGTTAGATGTTGTCTTTTTTAAATGTTACAACATGGAAATGTGTATAGCCGCCACGCTGGACTACTACGGCAGAACTGTAGGAGGCTGGTATGTAACGTTACTGCTTTTTTCCCACGGTTGTCTGCGCCGGTTTCAGAAATAATACTTTTCTGCTCGTCTGGCACTTTGCAACAACACAGCATTGTTTCGGCAGTGACTTTCAGCATGTGTGACGGATCTTGTCGCTCTCGTGACTGGATCTGGTCTCTCTCTCATATTCTGCGTTGTGATTTGACCAATTCGTTCACACGTTCTTCGTGCACTCAGATGAACAGGAGTCAGTGGGCTCAATTCCTCTCAATAAATGCAAGGACACATCATTTTTGTTGATTTGTATTTACTGAAAAGTGAAATAAAACATCCTCTCAGTGGTGTTTTGCTGCAGACATTACATATATCAACAGCACGCGTTCCCCGTAGCAACTGCTGTGTTACGCTACAATGGTATATAACCAATAATAGAACACACGACACATGACCACATTTCGTATGAAACATGATGCAATAATAAAAGCAAAAGCAATAAACACAAAAATATACATAAAAACATACCTGAAAAGTGAAATAAAACATCCTCTCAGTGGTGTTTTGCTGCAGACATTACATATATCTAAATAAAATATAAGATAAAATTAGCAACCTCGTGGCCTTGCTAACGAGAGCACTATCAGACGGAAGTTTACAACAGGCCATAACTAATCAAATATATCTTACTACTCGAATTAATTGGTTTAAACATTGGCTAAACCAAATCACAAACACAAAATACTTGAAATCGCTAGTCATTTTGCGTTATAATCACACAAATATTGCCAAAATGAGACAGAGCATGACCATACGCACCAACAGCACGCGTTCCCCGTAGCAACTGCTGTGTTACGCTTTATTCCGTCAAACCACGCATTTTTGTCTGCAGCTCCCAAACAAACCACATGAGGGCACTACTTTAACATGAAATGAATAGCCGCTGTTGAATTCAGGAGGATTCACAATAAAACTAAATACAATTCTAACTCTGTTACACATGTTTCCTATAAATGACGTTTGCATTTTAAGACATACCACGCGAAATCCGATCGTTCAGACTGAGGCTGGCTGATGTCCTGATATGTGATTTGAATAGGATTTCGAACCACATATGGATGTAACTTGAAACGAA